CCATGTCTGTACAATTTATACTGTAGCGGTGAACAATAAAGATGTATAAATAAATAACTAAAATAAAATAAATATTATACATAGAAAACATTTAAACTTCGAAACAAATATTTGCAGATCTTACAAACATTTGGCCCAACCCGGGAATCGATTCCAAGACTTAAGCATAGTAATCGCATATCTACGATACCCCTGCACTACCGAGGCAGTCGAATAATGTTTCCTCTTCTTCGAATTGTCTAAAATCAGCACGCAATATAAAAAAAATAGTATTTTCAATTACAAGACTTCAGAACATAGGACGATTACTTTTTTACACCAATATAATATGTAAGAAATACACAATAAAGTGTACTTATAAGAAATCAAGTTCTTTTTGCTTAGATTTTTTATTAAATTCTTAAATTATGTATACCCTAAATTAAGGATTTAGCAGTCCACATTTCAAAATACAATTATTTCATGAAATGGTGGACATCAAAGTGCTCACACATGGGCATAAATTTTAATTTTCACCCAGGTGAACAATAAATCTAATACAGCAAAAATAATAAATAAAAGTGAAACTGTCACCCAAAATCTCTAGCCGTACGTAATAAGGAAACAGTGTAATGATATATAGCTGAATTCCAATGTGAAGGTCCCGCGCGTGTCCCTACCCCGTGTAACGTCGCGAAGCCGACAACGACCTTGTTCGGCTCGTTATTCGCGTCATCCATCATCGGCTGGCCGCGGTCGTCGACACCGCCCCCTACAACACCCCTACAACACCCCACCACGACCGCCGGCGGCCCCCCACTCATTCACACGACGGGTGCCGGGTGCGAGCATCACGCACACTATAATATATATAAAAACAGATGCTGCTGCGATTTGTTCAGCTGCGAAGAGCGTCACAAAGCGTCAAAGTATTGTTGGTTATCTGTTGCTTGTTCAAGTTATTCTTTTTATTTAAAAAAAACTATGCTAGGAACTTGTGGCTTATGTAATAACATCCTTTTTAGGGTTCCGTAGTCCTAACAAGGAATCCTTATAATGTCACAGTGTCCATTTGTCCGTGACTTATCATTTTTATTAGACGTTCTAGAAAGCTGTACTATTGTACATACCTACTGCCAGTATAAAATATTTCTGGTTCATCCAAAGGTTGCCTTGGAGAAATTGCTATAAACGATAAGGCATTTATTTTTATTATTATAAATTATTAAACTAAATATATTAAAATAAATTATTAAAAAAATAAAATTAAAAAAAAAGAAATAAAAAAAAATAAAAAAAGTATTAAAATAAATAAATCATTACCTTATAATTTGAAAATATATTGCGTTTTTTGAGGAAATGATTTTTTTATTTTTATTTTAATATTATATTTATTTCCTTTTTTTTATAATTTTTGTATATATATATTTTTTTTAATAATTTATTTTAATTTATTTATTTTAATAATTTATAATAATAAAAATAAATAAATCATTTTCTTAAAAAATGTAATACATTTATTTTCAACTACCGATATTTATACCGATGCCAATGGCCACTTGATGGCATCTCAATAGCGTGTCAGTGGTATGACAGTTGCTTGGCGTAAACATATAATAATATAGATGAATTGAGGCGCTGGACTAAACTGTTAATAGCTTAGTTCGGTAGACTTGCTCGAGTTAAAAAAATTATTATCATGTCCGTAGATAAAATAAATCAATGAAACACTCAAAATATTGATGACGGGACTGAAATGGTCCATATGCGACAGATCGGCAATCACAGATCGTATCGCAGTCTTTATTACAGATTTGATAATAAAATGTTGCGACGGTCCTTCAGGGCTCGTAAATTGATTACAATAAAAACGTCCCCTGTGGCTCGTGTTTCAGCTGATATTAATACAATGACTTTTGTAATCCCGCCGCAGTCAGTTGTCATCTTTTTAATACTGTTGTTGTAATTAAAGTGGAGTATCAGCAAATAATGTATCACATACCTCTTAGTATTGTCATCATCTCATCGGTCTTGGCGCAATGACGAAAATTGCAATAAGGTTTTTGATTCTTTTTTTCATGGACAACCTCCTACCTTCGGCCGACTCTCCTTGGGAATATTATCATTTCCAGACGGGACTTAGGCCGAAAGTATTTTAGCAAGAAAATTGATAAAAAACCTGATAGGGCGAGGAATATGGAGTTAAGGGTATTGCATGAATGCCTGATTTAAAAGTCAAACGACATTTATTTATAAGTGAAAGAAAAAAAACAAATTAATGTAAATCAGTTAGATCGTCAAAGTAAATGATAACTGTCATTCATGGCAGTGAATTACTTAACATGTGATGCATATGTCAGCAACTCGCAATTGAAATGGTGCCAATAGCCATTTTATTGTGGTATTCTTTACACTTTCACAAGTAATTTTTGTAACCCATTTATGACCATTATTTTAATTTTCATGATGGATTTTACGTGGCCAGCAAAACAACACAAGTATCGAGTAATATAAAATCAGTCTGTACCTGTTCTACTCCTAGCTGCATTTTGTTTCTGCGCATTAATGAGGGTGGCATAAGGTATTAAAGAGGGAGGAGGTAAATGTGGGTGGTTAGCGGAAGCCGACGGTTAATTAATTCATTGACCCTCGCACTAAGCCACCAATAAGGAGACGTGTCAGTTTCACTTGATCAATGACCACCTCGTTATCATGAAATATTATAAATTGCCCCTTCTTTACGAGTGCTAAGCCCATTTGACATTTGAACCATTTGATGCGAACGACAAACGTAGAGACTTATTTCTTAGCGTTCCATGGGTTCACCGTGCGGGTGCCGGGTCCATTGCGTGATAGATGCTGCCATTTCAAAGCTGGTGGGATACAAAATTCAAAACTCTCCAAATACAAAACGCTCCATTCATTCTGCTTCCCTTGGTTAATTGCGTACACCTTGTACGTCTCGTTTTCATCTTTTTGTAGTAAAGATTTTGTTATCTTTTTGTCGGTCTGTCTTCTAGCATTTCCAAATCCAACTCTACTGGACTGCATACCCACCATGAATTCGAATTGGAGCCGTGACTCGAGTTCTGATGATTTTTTGTCTTTTGGAAGGGATCTAACGATTTCGTCTTGTGATTTTGACAAGACATGCATTTTGGTAACTCTTAGGTGTTTGTAGAGTTCCGAAGGATTTTTTAATTTCATTCCAACCAATAGGAATCAAGGGGTCATATGAGGTATATCTGGTACCTCGTCGGCCCAGTCAAAGGCAATAGCATTTGCTAGATTTTGACCTAGTTCCCTCCCTCTAGCTACAGAAGTCATCAACCTTACGCAGTAGTTCTTGGCACTGCTTCGGGTTACGTGTGAGGATCGCGAGGTCGTCTGCGAATGCTAAGATGGATGCCGTATAATTTCCATTGACCTTAAACTGATAGCTCCACTTCTTTTCGTGTGTTTCGATATTATCTATTAATATATTCATAATTTTATTAAATACCACTGGTGATAAGCAGCAACCTTTGAACAACCGTACTATGTATTCGAGGGGTTTTGTATGTTCTTCTTTTGCCGTGATTAGAAATTTTAATTTAATATAGTGCGATGCAATTATTTTTGCCTTTCATTTTTCCTAGCATCTTTGAGACTTTCCCCAAGTAATGAGTTATGTTCCAGATATGCAGATATTCCGGGCATGAACCCTTTCTGGATATTTGGTCTGAAGGAATTATTGTTCGACATAAACTGTATTATTTTAAATTGAAACCAGGAGAAAAATATTTTAGAAATTGTATGCGTTAGGGCTATCGGTCTAGTGTCCTTGGGATCTACTACTTTACTTTTCTTAGAAATTACTACAAAATTAGCTTTGCACAGGTTGTTAGTATTTCTTTGCTGGACCAGATCTTGCCGAATATAATTAGAAGGTGTTTACGCACTGATGGACATTTTTTATATACTATATATGGTTTACCATCAGGTCCTGGAGCTGATTTTGAATTTTTCTTTCTATTTCCTCTAAGGTTGGCGGGTTACAATCAAATTTGAAACGAGGTCTTGCTGGGTTTTGTGCACTTAGTTTATGATTCTTCTCATATGTTGGCACCTCGTAAGTAGTTTTATAGGGTTCGTAGATCTGGTCGGCCGTTAGAAGCAGGTGTCCGCGCTTCTCTTTAAAAATATTTCTAAAATATTGGTAAGGGTTTAGTGAGATTAATAGAGAGGTAAAGCTGCTACTGTAAAACAATATCAACAGCATTAGTCCTTAAAAGATTGCATATACCGACGCGTCTCGACAACTGTAAAAAATGCATGTGGTAGAAATATGTGTTCTACTCTTAGTAAGCAAGTTTTTAAGAGGATTTTGTTTAGATGCCTTGATAGGTTAATCTATATTCGGATAACTCAAAATGTTGCACAGTTGCTGACAGAAATATCCATGTGTGAGTAAGCTCGCAGACATGTTACGTAAAAAGACAAGTTCAAATGCGCTGCTGTATATTCTGGGAAAAGTTGCTGACAAACCACGCTCTTTAATAAGGCACTTTTGCTTTACATCTTATTAATAATTAAATTATGAATTATGATTAAAAACACTAGCAGTGTCCTAAATATCTATGTACCTACTTACAATTTGGAATTGCGGCACATTCTTACATTTTGTAAAAATAAACATAATAATCTCACACATCTTACACAAGACAGTCTGATCCCGAACTAGTCAGAGCCTGTACCAGGATGCTGATAAATATATTTAAATATTTCTAAACACGTACAAGTCTAGATAAATTACACCCAGATACTGAGCTAATAATCGTGCTCATTAAACAACTAATTGTCGTGGGTGAAAATCGAACCCACTACCTCCGACTTAGCAGTCTGAGTTACCAACTACGAGTACTAGACCAACAGGCTAGTCACCATGTTATAACTCGGTACACGGAATTATGCAACAACAGGAATATTCAACCGTATATAAGTTTACAGGAAGCCAAATCGACTGTCGGAAGACATTCATATCAGTGCAGGTCTCCGAGGCGCAGTACTACAGACCTCATTCGGATGCGCGACCTATTAATAACTAAGGGATCAGTATGGTCTACCACAGAGCTGAGTGTAGTGCATATTAAATTTCCATTGTGTGTCGTGGTGGCCGACAGGGGGGGGAGGGGGGGAGCGGCGCCAGGTGCAGGGCGACCTCGCGGTGTTGCGTCACCGCCCGCTCTCGCTTGCACCGCGACATGAATGAACCACGCGCTTCGTCCTGTCATCATTCGCACAGTGCTATTAAAATAATAGTCTCATATACTTTACAATATAATTATTTGGATAGCTATTGACTCGTTTTTTTTTGCTCTCCCTTTTTAAAACCTTTTAGGCGTGTTACTGGCTGAGATTAATGCCTAGCAGTCATGTAGTGATGAAAATATTCGACTGTTATGATAGCTAAATGTGAAAAAATTAGACAGTAATAATAACATAATGCAAAAATATAAAGATGCTATTTGTCAATAAATGTAAATCAAAATTATAAAAGGCATGCTACGCACTTGTTTAAGGATTGGTTTATAATTTCCTTCAAGACTATTTCTAAGATCATATTAACAGATAGGGAAACATTCCATACCTTCTATAGTTCATCTGGGTAGAACAGGATCCGTCGAGTTTATAGACAAAAACTATTGGTGCATACGATATTACGCAACACTTGTAGATATTTATTAAATACGATTTGTTTTCGTGCCGCAGTACCTTCTTAGACTAACTAACTTCTCCTTAAAATGTTAAGGTATTTTGACATACTGACACTACATTAAATGTCATCAGCCGCGTGTGTCCTGTCCGCGGACTTGCATGGGCATGTCTCAGCAACGGCACAGGATTGAGGTCACCGCCGCACGTCTTCACGCAGCCGTTGTTCTGCACGCACAGATCCGGTTTCACACGACTTCTTCATATTTGGTGTATTACGTAACGCTTTCCTGTAATGCTTTCGCAGACGAGCTTTTTCAAGACAATTTTTTATTCATCTTTGTATTTCGACGATTTCCATAAAGATTGTTTCCGAGTGTTCCTTGGGAGTGTGATAGAATCGAGAGTGACATCTCATTAAAACTTGCAGTGTTACAAGTATTATAGGCAGAGTGTAGCAATAAGATAATACTTAATATTGGTTGAATCTGGTCAAGAGATCGATATAATATACAAGATCAGAGTGGGAGTAAAATTGTGTCATGAGATCTAAATGAAGGAAGAAACAAAAAAGCTCCTTCGATTTTTCTGTCAACACAATTTAAGTTGTTAGACTGGATATTTGCCTCAACATGTTATAATAGTAATGCGTTAATGCGTATTTATTTAAGTGTATAATTTGTACATGTCATTAGTAATGCGCGATACGATATGCAGTATTTGGGCGTGATCAATCAACATGTTGCGACAATTGACATTATCCACTCATGCATATCAATAAGAAACCTCGAGAATATGTAACAGCGGTGTGAGCACCGATCAACACACGTGTATACCGCTAAGGTCATTGTTGAACACTTGCAATACAACACTAAACTGACTTACTTCAAGACAAGTAACATTACAGAGTAGAGAATGATGAAGATCCTCAGTGGACATTACTGATCAAAACCCTGATGCAGTGCGTGCGTCAGGAGGATTCTCTCACAACGACAGCTCAACATTGATTTTTGTTTTTTCTCAGATATATTCTATAGGTATTAATAAAATAATGCTCTTATCCTTGACTAGTTCCACCTCAAGACATGCATCATCACTATCTTGATTCTCGAATTTACAGTTGAGTAATGTTTAACGTTCGTCTTGGCTATTTTCTTTCATGACAAACTAACCTATTTGCGATAACCCAATCTACACTTCTTCGATTTCAGACGGGATGAAGGACGAAGATAAATTGATGAAAAGAAAACAAATCCTTTAGTGCGATATCTATATACGGCCCTGGGCATTCTCTACCAGCCAACCTTTAGGTGGTGTAGAAATTTTGTAGGGTAGGTGCACCGAGTTTACAATTGTAATCACTGATTATAAATATATTTTTTTAAATAAAGCAGTATATAGATCGAGGTAGGCGGGTAAAAATACTCCATATTTTCATCCCTTAAGGAATGAAAAGAGAGAGGTCAGCGCTTGTTGGTTGCGACGCAGGCGAATTGGTCACCATTTTAATTGGGAGCGTAAAACTGACAAATGGTCATACTCGCGAAGATTGAATATGTATCGGATGCAGTTATTGAGAAGACGGTCTAGATTATTGAGGAGGTCTGCATTCAGGTCGAAGAAACACACATCACCATAGTCAATTATAAAAATAGTAAGGGACTGAATTAGAGAGGTTTTTGTTTTAGTGGGCAGGAAACTCTGAAGACGGTATAGTGTTCACAGGTAACCCGTTACTTTCTGGCTCACGTGAGTAACTTGAGCACGCTAATCTATGCAATTACCTACAGGTATCAACCCGTCTGGCTAGCATGGTATAGTAGGCCAAAACAATCTTCTGAGGAGAGCCCTGCAGTGGACTATTAAAGGCTGTTGAAGATGATGATTATGTTAACAAGGGACTATAATATGTAACGATTTTTTTCCCATCTGGCAGTAAAAGTCGCCATATTTAACGCACTAACTTTTTTATGGTATAGGGAGTCAAACGAGCAGACATTTTATCTGATGGTTAGTGACTATCACCGTCCATAAACTGACAACCCTGACAACAACTGACAACATGAACTGACTGGCAACTCTAGAGTCACAAGTGCGTTGCTGCCCTTTAAGTCCAATGAATCAGATGTGGGAGGGAGGGATTGGCCTCCGGTGACCTCTCTCATTTGGTAAAAAACAATGAAAGAATGGCTTGTTACTGGTTTTCTATGAGGTCGTGATATAACTGTAGCTGTAGCTTTTAATTTGTTAAGAGCAAGTTCAATTTACGAAAATGTGGCTAATTTTATGTGCTAAGGAATGTCAAGGAGCGGCGTCGTGTCAGTACGAGCGAGGTCGAGGCCCCGACACGCGCTCACACTTCAACTAGATGCGTTAGTATTTGTCATTGAGACGTCTAAAGCTTCAAAACATCATGTTATAATGTCGGCTTGTTCACAATTTTCAGGAAAGATGAGAGACGTCTCTAATCGTGTTTACGTTAGGCGAGCTTTCTGTTACACGCTGCAGTCGTCACATCTGACGTTAACATCATGCTTGTTGTGTAAATAATTCGAATTGAAGATTGAGAAAATAACAAGAGTGAATACAAGTACATTTATTTGATGTAGTGTCTTTATGTCTTAATCAAATGGTGAAGTGCTCACAAGACAATATCAATGTCGTGATCTGTTATCAGTAATTAATGTAACTGGATATACTGTCAGTTGGTTATATCAAAATGAATAGACAGAAGCGTTTCGTTAAACGTAACTTGTTTCGTATATTCATATACCAGAGTTCATCCCCATCTTTTCCCTTAAATCTTGAGGGAGGGAGGCTCATAGGCCGATAACGCACTTGTGACTCGGTTGCAGGTGTTCATGGGCGGCGGCAGTCACTTACCATGTGGTCACTCGGCTGCTTGTTGGACCCTAGTCCATAAAAAAATAACGTACAATGATTGACCGAATGGCGTAGTGGTTTGTGTAACGGACTGCTATTCCAAAGGTCGCGGGTTCGATTCCCGCTCAAGTCAAACATTATGTGTGCATGAACATTTAACGTTTGATTTGGTCTGGGTGTTTCTATGTATAATAAGTATGTATTTACAAAAAAAAAGTATATATGTATTTATATCAGTTGTCTAGTACCCATAGTACAAGCTCTGCTTAGTTTGGGACTAGATGGTGTTGTGTGAATGTGGTAGAATATTATTATTATTATTATTGGTTTTGTGGTGATGATGAATGCAAAAATTTGAGAATTGATGATTGTTTATTACACATTCACGCAAGCTATTAAACGATTTAGATCCAATTTAGAGCACAAATAGTTTATAACCCAGATTAACACGGTACTTGCTCTTTACTGTGGTTTACGAGAGCCAGGTGGGTGAAACTGCGGGAATAAAATTGATGAATGATGCACTTGGCGTGTCGCGCTCCACCAGATTTACTACGCCATGCTTGTCATCATAATATACACGTTAAAGTAACCAGTAGAACCCAGTATGTTAGTACATTGTGCATATTGTTTACATTGGTATAGAATAGTGGAAACTTAAGAAAGTAAGTATAGTTTATGTAGCATCTTGTTTGGACTCTAAATTAGTGAATATCGCCCATAACTAGTTGTTGATAAAATCTATCTCGTAGTAATTAGTAAAGCAATAATACTCTACATCATTCCCTCTGCCTCGGTGGCGCAGTGGTAGAGGATACGACTACTGTTCGGAAGTCTCGGGTTCAATCCCGGGTCGGACCAAATATTTGTCTGATCTGCAGATATTTGTTTGGGAGTATAGGTGTTTTCAATGCACAATATGAATGTATTTACAAAAAAAAGTAAAAGTATTCTATCAGTCAATCTAGCTTAGCTGCTTAGTTTGAAACTAGATGGCGTTGTGTGTTAGGTGTCCAAAATATTATTATTATTCTCTTTCAATAACTAATTTTTACTTAATAACCATTCAGATGATTGTTTATTAGATATACAATAAATATACCAAAACTGTATCCCAAGACCCATTAATCAGTACAAGAGCTGTGAGATTGCGCCAGCTCCAGGTTTATTTCGTCTGTTTGTTATTTCAGCTGGTGGCGAAGTTGCGTACACGAGCGTCGTGTACCAGTTAATGTATTAACGGTTCCCCGAGCACTGATTCACCTCCGAACATCTCATACATCATGTTTTATTTATTGTTGTATCATAACTCTGTAAAGTACTCGTGTTTCTGATTGATTTATTATGAACACTTCATGTTATTTATTTGAATTGAGAAGTATCTTCAGAATTGTCATTATACAATCTTGTCAATCGTAATAAATTACTTGTATTATAAACGGGATATTTATCATGTTTTTTTTAACTCCGTTGGTGAACCTAAACACGGATGTTCATCTGTGATCATGGTGCTTGCAACATTGGCAACTAATTCCCAAAAAAAAAACTAAATATCCCGCTTTCATTAACTTACCAGGTAAAAACCATTATCATCGTAGTTTCAATCAACAAATTGTCAATCTTACTACTGTAAACGTATAAAGTTTAAATGGATGTGTGTTACTTAACCACGATGAAGAGGCGGAAAGGAGATGGATCATATGTGCTCAAGATATCAGAGTATCCGCTGATGATGCAACACCGCACGGCTACAACTGCACTGGGAACATATTAAGTCCCACATGTGATCCTGCCCTTATTGAAAGAAAATAAGTTATAAGAGGTATAAGAGTTTTGCATCTAATGCTTATGGTACACAATACAAGCAGATATCGTTAGATCTGGTTAAATATGTGAAGAAAAAAGAAACTGAACAAAATAGTGAGGACAACGAGGAACACAACTCAATAAACTCCTAGTGGCGGTGCAACTAGTGCACCGTGTTCTAAGCAGACACATGTGCCAGATATAACAAGGTATTTATACACACGCGCACGCGCATCGCACGACGCGCTCCGCGTTCCTCTAATGTTTCGAAAATTACTATCATCCAGATCGTTACATATTTTGGAGATGAAGGAATTAAATTTAACTGTAATTCTAAGCTAGATAAACCTTAGATTTGTTAATAATATTTGATATTGTAGTGACCGATTTTGTCAAAGATCGCTTCTAATTTTTTTTTAAAGATGTTGCTTATATTTAGAAGATCGAAATAACTACAAAAAAAAACATATATTATGAACTAAATGGTGTAGAGAAATAGAGTACAGACGAATTGAAATAATTCAATAAATATAAAACAAAACGTCAGCAAACATATTACGTTTTCAAGGAATCTTC